TCTGTTTATTTGTTTATTTATTTAGTCAAGGACGGAGGATACGCTAGCTCCTCCTAAAGTTTGTGCTTTTTGAAGGTAGAGACTGTGTCTGTCTGTCTTTCTGAAAGCAGAGCCTAGTGCATGGCAGGGATCAATTCATGTATGTCGAATGAAAGACTGCAACTTTTCCAAGGCTGGCTTGGGGCCCGTCTCCATTGCGGGATGGACACATTACCCTTTGACCTAGCCAGGAAGCTTGGCTGTGGCTGGCTCCCAGTGCCCTGCTCAATGCCCCACATCCTCTACAGCCCTCACAGCCAGTGATCTCTCTCAGCTGCAAACACTCCAACCTTAAGCTATCTCACCTCTTTACTCACTCCCCTACCAATACCTCACCCCAGGTTCAACATATTTTGGAACGATCTAAACAAGCTAGTATTCGTCTCCACTAAGAAAGGGAAAGGGAAGGTGTGTGAGCCGTGTTCCAACAGCAGTTACCATGATCACATGACTACTTTGTACCAGGCACTGTACTGATTACATTCATCCTTCAACCAATCCTGCAAACTCAGCGTCATCACGCCTATTTTCAGTGAGAAAACAAAGTATCTTGCCTAAGATCACAGAGCTGGCAACCCACAGGGTCAGAATTTAAACCCGAATTGGTCCAACTCGGATGCTGCCAGAGCGCGATGAGCGACCTTACCCCGGGGGAGCGTAGAGAACCGTTCCTGAGGTCCCTAGGGATGTTTTCTCAGTGATGCTTCCAGTAAGTCTGCCCCTTCGCCTTTCTTCCAAACCCCTGGGCTTTCATCCGGGTGTATTTTAGCATCAGTTTTCTGGAATAGAACATGCCATTAAAAATCTGCCTCTCAGCCGGGCTCGGTGGCTCATGCTTGTAATCCTAGCACTTTGGGAGGCCAAGGCGGGCGGATCACGAGGTCAGGAGATCGAGACCATCCTGGCTAACACGGTGAAACCCCGTCTCTACTAAAAATACAAAAAATCAGCCAGGTGTGGCGGCGGGCACCTGTAGTCCCAGCTACTCGGGCGGTTGAGGCAGGAGAATGGCTTGAACATGGGAGGTGGAGCTTGCAGTGAGCCAGGATCGAGCCACTGCACTCCAGCCCGGGCGGCAGAGTGAGACTCCGTCTCAAAAAAAAAAAAAAAGAAAGAAAAAGGAAAAATCTGCCTCTCATTTCCAAACCTGGGATTCTAGGTTTTAGAGAAGAATCACCTTTCTTCCAATTTTTACCAATAAATGAATAAATACAAACATTTGGGTTTCTGATCCTGTGTATTGAAATTCAAAATTATATCGTCTTGGGTACCAAGTACCTGGAGAAGTCCATGCGGCTGTTACCGGCTAAGGCCAAACTCTAGGAAAACTGTACTCAACCTGACTCTGAAGCCCTGTGTGCAAGCTTCAGTGCTACCACTGCTGAGCTCAGCCTGAAGAGTTCCTTCAGAACCGCGTCCTCCCCTGTCACACAGGTGGCTCTGTAGCTTTGCTGAGCTAACATTTACAACAGCCTCATGGTAACCCGTGCGAACAAATGTGAGCCCCGAGGCCATGGGACCACACCAAATTACTTGAATTGCAGCAACCCATCACTTTTATATTAAAGCAGAAAAGCATTTGGCCAAGTTAGGTGAGCAACTGTAGCATACAGAAGCCTGGTGGGAGAGAACTAACCCAGAAACTTTCTTTTCCTCATTTCCAGTTACACAGGGCTACTGCAAAGATGCAATTAAAGAATGAGTTCATTGCCCATGGCTTTTGTCTCACACTCTTCCAGTCCAGAGAGTGGTACATAGATGTACCCGCTCCAAACACAGCTGGAGAGCCCTCCGGCAGAGCCCTCGCCGCATTGGCATTTGGCCCAGATGACAGGTCTCCAGTGTGCCCAGGATCTGTAGGAGGAAAGTGATGCTAGCTTCACTCTGTATCATAGTGGATTAAATTCATTCTCTGGCCACAATAGCCCAGCCGTTTCTCATACACCAATTGACCAAAGGCACTTAGGCAATAAATTGCTATGGCATTTGATACGACAAAGCAGGTGCTCATCACACCTGCTGAAGAATAAAACTCCCTGAAGCCACATAGAAAATGGGGCTGCAAAAGGGAAACTTTAGGGTCTAGAGTGTTTGGTGCCCTCTTGCAGTCTCAGGGGAGATGGAATTCTGAAGTGCAGAAGGCATATGTTGATGGTTTTCTTTCAACTGAAGAAGGCTGTCTGGCTACTCACCAACTATCTCTCCTAACACCTGGATGCAGAATTTCCATTCATGTAATAACTCAGAGAGCTAATAGAAGAAGGACCTCACAGGTCATCAAACCCCATCTCTTCTCAATTTGCAATGTGAGAAGCAAAGCCCGGAGAGGGACCGTCACTCAGCTAGGGTTCAGCACATTCACACAGAGACACTGCATTCCCCGTCCATTGTTTCTCTCACACCATGATATTGTGGTCCCTGGAAAACCTGCACAAATGGTCATTTTCTACAGAGAGGAACTAGACTTGTAACAATTATGGGCATAGATTCTGAGGACAGTGACTTGGTTCTAATACAGCTCACGGTGTATAAGTTGTGTGGCCATAGGTAAGATGTCTAACTGCTCTGTTCCCAGCTTTCCTATTTGTAAAGTGGGAATGATAGTAGCACATAGCTCATAGGGTTGGTGTGATGATTAAATGACTGATTGTATGTTTAGCATCTAGAATCATGCTTGCCACATGGAGAGCACAGTGTGAATGTATGTTGTCATCATGGCCCTAAGCAGGCTGAGCAGCCTACATATCTGCTAAGTCCCCCTTGCATTTCCACTCTTGGGAACACTCAACAGAAGCTGAATATGGCTGTAAACCTCCACCCAGTAAGCACCAAGCATCCGATGGCAACTGCTGCTCACCACCAGAAACACTCACTTCCCTTTGCTATTCTGCCTCCTTCTCTCTCTGAGCCCCACTCTTCCATGCTCTTCTTTCTGTGTGTATTGCCCCACTCTTCTTTGCTTTAGTTATATTCAACCTTGTGCTGATGGCATGGTATCCACAGGAATGTTTCAGTTCACTGGTAGAACTTGGAGAGAATGATTCCTACACTCAAGACTTCTATCTGTCTACAGTAGAGCATATCAGGGCTTCAATTGTTTCTTAAGTTCAAAATAATAAATTAGACAAAGACATATATATGTATATACATATACACATAAATAACTAGTCTAGTACATACGCCATATATGTCATGAAAATACTTTTAAAGAAAATATAAACAAAAAGATAATTTTAAAGAAACATACATGCTTTATGAATCTGCCCATATGTTTCTTTAAAAGTATCTTTATGTACATATTTTTATTTAAAAATGTAAATAAACTTATTTAAAAATCTAAATCACTCATCTTTTGCAAAGACAATATGCAGAGAATTACCTTGAGCTTCAACCTGAGCATTTCTAGCTGAGTGCATTCTGCAGGCCAGTAGGATTTCTCGGGATGTGTGCCAGGATTGCTGGAGGCCCCACAGTCAGGCTACTTTCCATCAATATCTATGGAGCCTCCTCTGGGACATTAACATGTCGCTAGAACCTGGATCCCGCCCTTTTTTGTGAATATTCTCTGACAAAAATGCAGGGTAATATGAGTCAGACTTCAAGCTATCAAGCAAATATGACTTTTAGTGCATAAAAGCGTGTATATTTTAAGTAGAAATAAAAGGTATTCGTGTTAAGATTAGTGGAGAGGAACAGTTGTATATTCATTCCTGAAGTGAGAGACCTGAATTTCCCAAAAATCTTCCTATCAGTCCCTCCTGGGCGAGGCATGGATCCTCACCATAAGGTTGACAGACAAGCCAAATGAACTGGTCCTGTCTAAAGAGGTTCTGCTGCACCTCCGCTTATTTCCAGCCGGCCAATTTGCTTCTCAAAGAAGCTGTGAAGTCCTGGCTTGAGGTGGTAGAAGAGGTGTCCTGTCTCCTTTGGATCTCCTTTGCTTCTTCACCAGTTTTATAGAAATGACTCTCAATGGCTTTAATCCCTTGGTATTAATAGATTTTGCTTTTTCTGGGATACACTTACTGCTGGCTCCTGGTCTTACGTACCACCCTATGCACTTGCTGATGAAGGTGATGGAGGAACGCCTGGGCCAAATTTGATACACCTGCCTTTGCAGCAGGCTGGGATAATACCAATACATGTGATTTGTCTTCTTGAGCCATGGAAGATGAGAGGAGAAGAATAGCACTCATGAGACTGGGGACTTATTTCCCAGTGGACCTTGAATGATTTAGTGGGGATACAGGAAAGGGCCAGAGAGAGAGAGAAGGTAGAAAAAAAATCAAGGGAGAGCCCCTTGGGTGGACTCTTCAGGAGCAATCTGTTTTGGGCGTGTTGATCTGCTTCAAGGCCTTTGGCGAGGCAGCACTGTCTGCTGGGACAAGCCTAATTCCAGTCTTTAAAACCCGTGGGGATGATTTTTCTTCCTTCCTCAGCTGCTGCAGGAGGAGCCTCCACAACACCTAGGTTGCATGCATTGAGGTTGACGAGTCTACTACATCAACACTTGGACTTATGTCTCCATCCCTCTCCCCTTCCTACCCCACCACCTGCTCCTTGTCTCTCTGGCCCTGTGCCCCCCGACTCATTGTCTGTACTGGACACTCTCCAAGTATAGCACACATTTAGAGGCACTGCTTAGAAAACAGCCAGCAGGTCTGCCTTTCCATGTGTTGCCCTAACCTTTGGGCCCACGGACCTCAATGACTAGCCTGAGCTTCACCTATTTACTTTTTAAGCATAGTCTTTCGGAGCAGGCTGCACTGGTCAAGGCATCCCATTAGCTTGCCCCTTCGAGTTCCTAAATACTCCCAATGGGCATTTTCCTTTGTCTAGACTTGGAATGGTCAGCGGAAGGGTGGAAGGTGGGAAGCATGTATGTGTATTTGCTTGTCAGGGAAGAACTATGGTGTCCTTGGATGTATGCTAATGGTTCTGTCTCTCTCTCTCCTACACAGGGCCTGGAGCAGTCATTGATGGTGTAAACTCGGCCTCCAGAGCACTGGCTTGTCTCTGGCTATCAGGGACCCTCTTAGCCCACTTCTTCATCAAGTTTTGATAAGAAATCCTAGGTCCTCTGAGCAACACCTGCTTCTCCATATCACAGACTTTAATCTACACTGCGGAGAGCAAACCAGCTTGGGCTTCTTTTTGTTGTTTGTTTTCTTCTGTTCTTCTTCTAGATTTGTTTTCTTCCTGTTTTTGTTCATTTGTTTGTTTGTTTGTTTGCTTTTATTTCCAGCTTGAATGAGTGGGGTTGGGGGCGGGGTGGGCAGGGTTCTACCACATGTAGGATAATCATTCATTGGTGTGTCCAAAAATGGGGTCTGCTCCTGCTACCTTGACCCTTCCCTTTCCTCTGCTTCTCTCCTCCTCGTCATCCCCACCAACATCCCCTGCCACACACACCAAAACGTAAGTTTCATTTGGGCAAAAATTGAGCCTCACAATAAACACCCTGAAGACACAACTTGACTCATAACATAGTGCACAGCAAGAGCTACATCCAAGTGTCCTATTATCTACGATTATTTTCCTAATGACAATGTACATATCCCCCCATCCATGTTAATTATTATCTAATTCCATTAGGGTTCACATCTTTTCTTTCTGGGACACTGTCCTACTATGTCCATATCTATATATTTCAATACAGATGATTGTGCCATCTTCTGTAGCCCCTCTACCCTACTCATTTCTTCCACCATCTGCAGGGATTTGAAGTTTGGGGCTATGCTTGCAACCTAACACTAAATTTTGCAAGTCAAGTGACCAAAAAAGGGGGAGGCATTTTGAAGATAGTACTTCTCTTTTAAAAAGAGAAGTTCAGCTCATAAAAGTGATTGATAGGTGGCTGATTTATTTAGGTTTTATCAAGCTGTCTATCAAAGTAATCATACAGTTACCCATCTACTCAAATGTCTGATTTATCTCACCATCCAATTACCTACCCACTTGTCTTCCTCTCTAGCAATCTATTTACTGTTTATCAATATATCAATGTAATTGTCTAACACTCCTTTCTATTTCTCTCCCTACTACTCACTATCAATTCATCCCCATATTAATCTCTAATCATATCGTATCTCTCCCACTGTATTCATGTATACACCATCAGCAGACATTAGCATCTTCAAAATTATCTATCAACTTCTGTGAAAGCCAGCGATCTCACAGGCTAACAACATAAAAAAGCAATACCCTGTGTTGTGGACTCTTTAAAATCTGGTATCCTATCCACCCAGAGGAGACACTAACAGATGGGCCGAGTAGCAAGCTGATGGTCAGTCACTCACTATTCCCGGGAGAGCCTGTTCTCTAAAACATCTTCTTGGGAAGCAGATCAGCCTAGAAAAGTCTTGATTCGCACTGTGGTTTTCCTTTTGCACTTGAAGGACAAAGGTGCCAGCCTTTATGCTTCTCTCAACCCTTCAAGAAAGTGCGTGTCAGGAACCTATGGCTGGCTTTCCTTCACAGCAAGAACATGAGAGAAAAAAACCACATGTGTCTCTGCAATGCAAAGTGAAGAGTCCACCCGCCTGGGTGGGATGACTGCGGCTGGAGTCTCCTTTCTGCTCCAGTTCTGGTTTAATCTGTTTGAAAACTATCCAGTAAAAAGCTGATGGAGGCCAATTACATGGCGGGTGTATTGACAACTCTGGTATTTGTTTCAGGAAGCTCTTCTATGCTGAGGGCACTTGAGCAACTGACTTAATTTTCAAGCACTTGATTAACACAACACTGCAAACAGAAGGGAGAAAGTGTCAGTGACACAGTTTCCTCGGATGCAGGCTGCTTCTCCAGTGGCTTTGGGGAAGAACTTCACCAGCTCTTCAGGTTCAAAGCAGACCCAGCATACAAACAAGAGCTGACCCACCTTTGCTGCCTTGTCTCCTGGGACAAGAAGGACTCATCCAGCAAGGTTGCCTGGGATTCCAAATAAAGGCATTGCAGACCGCACAGGTGTGCTGCAGGGACTGACCCCCAGAGAGGATGAGAATGCAGCATCAATCGCAGACCTGCCCTGCCTCAGTTGGAAAACCTTTTCAGGTCCTCAGTCTAAAAAATAAAAAATATGAGCACCATAGAATTCTGTGCCCTTAATGCTTAACTGGTCTTCTTCCTCCAGTATCAGTGCCCTCTTTGCTTTTGTCCATCAAGGCACATGAGTGTGACCTCTGCCATGGGGAAACATACACAGCGATAGCTATACATATATACATACATACATAGGCGATCTTGGCACACTAAATGCTAAGCACTGTCTTAAGAGGTAGAGCTGGTGTGAGTGAAATTAATGTTACATTTTCCAGCTGTAAACAGACATCTGCATTTCCTAGTGAGCTGCCAGGAGCCAGATTCGGGAACCATAAATGATGTGCCAGGAGTGGCGCATTGATTCCCAGTTCCAGGGATGATCATGAACAGGCACAAAATCAGAATTAAAGGTTGCACATAGACGTTTCAGATCTGTCACCACCTTCAGCATCTGGAGTTGAGTTGGTGTCAGATAGTGTATGAGAATCAAATGTGTCATCTGAGCATGCTACTGATAATAAATTTGTTACTTTGGAGTGGAATAAATGTGAAGGCTGTGAAGAGTGGAAAGTCTTGGAGAACATAGTACTTGAAATGGACAAGCTGGACCTATTCCTCACTCCAAGACTTGTTCTACAGGAAACGGTCCATGCTCTTTTGGCCAAGATCATCAGAACCTCTCAACCCAAAAAGGCTGGCTCCAGGGTCACTATGGAACCCTACTGTTCCCCCTCCCACAGGATACTAAGATGCCCCTCTAGTTGGTACCTATCCCAGCCACGTTTCAGAGGGAGAAAAATGCTACAGTCAATCCTCATCTGTCTGGGGTAAAGACAACAAAGTAAATACAACCCAAGGCAACTGGGGTACTCACTGGGAGTGAAAATGACTTCTTCACAACAGACATATTTCTGCTTCTGTGTTTTTGTGTTTCTTTAGTGGGGATGGCTTCATGGGACAGTGGCTGCCATCCATCATTTTGAAGCATATAGAACAACAAATGCTTACATAAGATAATATCCACACTTTTCCAACTTCACATATGGAGAGTACATGGAGAAGGCCTACAGGCTAGATTTGTTCAGGGTGCCAGTAGTGGGCATGGGGTGGGGGCAAGGCAGGACAAAACATACAAGTCTGAGCAAGTATATCTCTTGCAGGTTTTCCACATGAAAAGGAAGCCAAATGAGGCTTGTTAGGAGATTAGGTGAGAGGAATTAGCAATGTAGGAACTCTGAAACCCTTCCCCTTCCCAAAACAGAGTTCATATGCACTTCCACCAAAGTAATGCCAATGAAAGTGCTTGTGTTAAGGCTCCGGCCAAGCTTGTTTTTCAGTAGTTTAATGTCAAGTGCCTGATACAGTCAACTGCAAGTCTAAACAAGCGTGTTTAGTTTTTTCTCGTTCTTGCTTTAATTCGGGGAGGGGGGAGATGTAGAGAAGTGGTTGTGAAAACATACACAGGTTTTATGCAGAGTACTGCACATGACTGTTCTGCTGCAATTGTGCTCCACCGAACAGAAGAAAAGGTAAGGTTTTCTGTCACAAAGAGGCCCAAGCCTCTTTCTTCTTACATCCATGCTTCTTACTAGATGATACATTTCACAGATTGGGCAGTTTGTTCTCAAAACCTGGGTGAGAAGAATATTTTGGGACTCTAGCAACTTCAAAACTGAGGGTGGGTTTCAGGATCTGTTTCTGCATCAATTCACTCAATTTGCCTTCAACAAAGAGGAGTCAGCAAGTTCTATTTATGCTGAGAGAACCATCCCGTGAGAAAAGCAGAGAACCCCAAAGTGGGCAGGCAACCCCGACGAGAGCTTATCCCTGTGGCTGCATCAGGAGTGGCTGTACATTGAATATTCAAGTGTTGGTTGGCTGTCGCCAGCCCATAGTAGAAGGAGGGGAGGAGTGGCTTAAGATGAGGTAAGATCTGGTGGTGGGGCATCCTTCCTGAATTTCATACTGACTTTGATTTTGAGAAAGAAAAACTGGCTATGCATTACCTAAAACCAGCCCGAAATGAAACAGACCAATACACACACGAAAGCAAATGTTAATCCCTTTGGAATTAAGGGAAGCAGCATAAGGTTTTTCTTTTTGGAAAAATGCATTTATTTTCTTTCTCTCCAACAGCAAGAATCTTTTGTTTTCATTTTGCACATGACCTTATCCTGGAAACTCTCATACCCAATTGCCTCCCCTCCTATTATTCAGAGCTTCCCTGTCTTTTTACTTGAAGACAAATAAGTTTGAGCACTTGAGTAAAACTTCACAGGTGTGTAGTAGGAAGGCAACATTTTCAAAAAGAGACCCTATGAGGAGAATGCCTAATGATCACCAAATGCAAACAAATAAAAATGCCAGTCTCATTTCCCACATTTCTTACTTAAGAGAAGTAAATGAAAGGAAGAAGAAATAGATTTGTAATTAAAGATGTGGCAACAAAGATAGAGCTGAGCTAGTTCAATTTAGCCTTCAGGTGCAGAATACTTAGAGTCCAAAGAAATGTTGAGTGGACTTCATTAGACGCAATTGTCTTTACCCTGAAAGTAGTCAGCTAAGCCTAATTTCCAGCATTTTGAAAGAGATTTCTTTTTGTTTCTTTCAATGGTGCCCTTTTAAAGGCACAGAGTTGCTCCACACCACTGGGTGGAGAAAGAAAGATTGCGAACCCTCGACCATCCTTTTGAGGCTACGTTCTACGTTATTTGGCAGATTTATAAAGCTATCAATAATAACAATGCTATATAATACAAACTGCCCTTGTGTTAGTTAAAGGGAGCATTTTTAATCATTCAGAAATTTTCGTGACATGTAAAGTGCAGTTGTGAGGAATGTGTGGGTGTACGAAAATGTATCTGTCAAGTTCAGAGTCCTTTAGATTTAAAAAAAAATTATGACTTATCAATGGTGCCGTTATAGCTGTGTCAGACAATGGGTGTGCCCATTCTCACAATTATCCTTCAAAAAAATCTATGTTCAAATGCTTTAAAAATTTATCACATGATACAAGAGTATGACTTTGTCAGCCTTCTAGAGTTCTTTTTTCTTTTATTTTCTTTCTTATCTTTTCCTTCAAAAAATCAATGAAGACTTGATTTCTGTCAATAATTGTATTAAGGGTGAATATACTACCTGAATTTTGTGCATGTTGCATTGTAGTTGTAACCTTTTCTAATTCAGGATGAATACGAGATGGTTGTGATTGTGCAGTGTATCAATAAAGTTCGAGAAATTTGTAACTTTTGGGGGGCTGTTTATTAGGACATCTCATTGATATCCAGGACGGGAAAAATATGAAGCGAGCCGTGCTTCTCCCTCATGTGTGTTTTTGGCCTTGAAGAGTAGACGCACTCAGAAAGCCTGGAGCTGCACCCCCTACCTCTCTCTCTTTCTCCTTCTCTCTCTCGCACACACTGTAGAAAGCAGCCTTAGCACTGTCCATATCACATTTGTATATCAAATATCTATGCTATTTACAAACAATATAAAATGTAGCTGCATCCTCAAAGTCTAAATTGTTTATTGGTGTAGGCTAAAACGAAAGCAGAAGAGAAGTGTCAGAAAAATAGGGGTGACCAGATACTGCCCAGTTTGGGCATTTGAGTCCCTAAGTTCCTGTTGCTTGATTTCTTGAAGTACACACCACGTTGACAAGGGTAAGTATGAGAAGACACAGGGTCGAGGATGTACATTGAGTCTTAAGTGTGTGCCATTAGATGAAGGTTTATGCATCTTAGGTTTTACTTGGATTAGGCTTCATTCAGCTGAGGCTTCTTGTGGACTAGCATGAGAAAGAACCCCAGAGGAGCGGCTGCTTTCCTCTGGTTGCAATTTCTAAAACACCTTACTCTTCCAATAAAATCCCACCTCCTCTTTCTCCATCACATATCCATCTGCTTTTCTAAAGAAATGAGTATTAACTTATTTTTACACCTCAGCTTCTCATTAGCCATTTGTATATCAATTAAGCCTTCCCAGTTCTGCCGTTAACTAGGTGTGAGATCTTAGACCGGTAAGTGACTTTCTAAGCCTTTGTTCTCTCATCTGTATCATTGGGGAATTTAATTACACCACTTAGTGTACACTGATTCAAAAATATTTGGCCACTATTTGGTTTATTTTGCAACTGCGAGATTTCTTAAGACTATCCTCAAATAAAGCTTAGGGACAATGACTGATTATGATTCAATAACTGAGTAGAAAGTGAATTAAAATTATTTCATTAATTTCACAGCACACGTAGCTTCTTTGGCAAAGTCCCTGAGCTAAAGTTATGAGTCTTATATTCTTGTTGGTTTCCTATATAGACAAGTGCTAATCTTTTCATGACTCAGTCTCCCCTACAGGGAAAGGAACACAGTCTCCCCTACAGGGAACGGAACACAGTCTCCCCTACAGGGAATGGAACACAGATAAGTTGATAGACTAGACACATGTTCTTTGTAAATTGCAATGGCAAGTAAACGCTAGGCATCAGTAATTGGGACTTTCCAATTTCCTCTGGCTCATTGTAAAATTATGATTCATCAAGAAAATGAAATTTCAGTTCCCTTAGCCATCTCAGTACCTTTAGTACTCCCTTTCTTGTTGCCTTTTTTCTTTCCTTTTCATCATCCTGTTCCTATTTGCACCTGACCCTTTCTTACTCCTGTTCATACCACAACATTTACCCATCCATCTGCTATCAGTCTCTCACTCCATTTAGCCACTCAGCTCCATCTATCATCCATGAACCAATTTATTCTCCCATCGGCTAACTACTCAACTATCCATTCACATATTATTTTCCCATTTATCTAAACCTTTTTCCATCTCTATACTCATGCACCTCCTTAAAGTGAGACTGTTTCTCTCTCATCTATTTATTTAGACCAGCTGTCAGTCCGTCCAACAGGCATGCTCCAGCTAGCCTTTAGCGGACCCATCTGTTTGCCAACCCACTTCAAGGTAATGAAAATCTTGGTTGTTATCTCTCTATTCCACAAGGGAAGCTTTATCTAGTGACTCGTAAGCATGGCAGCTAAATGATTGGATGCATTTTTATCTTTGCCCTATGAAAATCCTATATATACAGAAGCGCCTCTGGAGATATATTAAGGGCATTCCTCTCCCTATCAAGGTGTATTAAGTAGGAAGAGTGTGTGAAGTTGGGAGTGGAGTGGAAATACCCGGATGAGAAGGTGTAACACTAGGATTGTAGTCATGCAGTGAACATAACAAATAACTGAAGGAACAGACAGGAGGGACCTCAACTGGCAACTGACCTCCTTCTTTCCCCACAATTTAATTTGCTGTTGAATTAATTATTCACTTTGAGAAAAATTCATGGGGTGTGCTAGTTGAGGCCAAACCCTATGATCAGTTTTGAAAACCAAACGTCAAGTTAGAAGTGATGCTACCGTCTTTTAATATGTTCATCCAGTCACTGGGATATCTTATTTTTCTTTCCCTTATATTTCCCCATTTATTCATTATTCATGCATCACATTTAGTCAGGAACTCCCCTTGAGGAGTTCACATTTAAGATCTAAAAACTGCTGTATAAGAAGATAAATTACAGTAGAGTATGGCAAGTATTATGACAGAGATATGAGGAAATGACTGCAAAGTGCAGAGCAAATATTGTGAGATGATTAGGAGGCATTCTCACTTTCCCCCTTTTCTTCTGCAGGGATAAAACACTGGAATGTAAACAGCTAACAACAGCTAACATAAGCTGCAGACATGGTGCACAGATATATTACTACAAAAATTATTGGGTTACAGGATCATACACATTCAGCATTCAATAATTTATCAATGGAGTGAATAGCATTTGTTAAATGAATGAGTACCATGAAGGCAGTTAAAACTACAAGTGGCCAAAGGACCACACCGTGCAGTTGATGATAGGTTAACACAGACCTGCTGGAGAGGAGGAAGCGATACCTATAATGTCAAAGCTGGCTGGGAAGCTGGTTATAAAGTCTCAGTCCCACATAAGATTACTATGCATATCACCTTTCACTAGATCTAACACCATGAGCCTTGCTGATGAGGGAAAGAGAAGCTCTGCCTGGGGACATGTGCTGCCACAAAGGCATGGAGGGGCAGGCAGAGCTTAAGTGTGGACTTGCTGAATAGACCCTCAAGACTAGGCTTCTCCAGAGAAGACTAACACTCTGTGATGTAGGATGAAATACCTGGATCATTTGCATGTCAGTGTCCCACAGTGTCTATTGTTTCAAAGATAAAAATAGTCATAGTTTTACCTCTCCATGAATTCCTCTCTCCAATATGACATACTGCCTTGCCTTTACTATGAGTTCTCCAACCAACTGGCTTGTTTCAGAAAACTTGACCTCGCGAATTACCTGTTATGTTGTCTTAGACCAATTTCTTACCTTTTCTGAACTTCTGTCTCATCTTTAATAAAACATTGGTAATAATACTCATCTCAGAAGAATAGCTGTGAGAATTATTCCACTACTAGATACAAATAAGTAAGGGTGTTTAGCATAGTCCCAGGATACAACAGTTACTTGCAAAGTAAACATTTGTGGTTCTTTTCTCCTGTTCTTCTCTCAGCCTTCTTTTATGTCATCACTTTCCTGAGTCTTTTGAAGATATAATTCAACTGTGCTTGCTTCGTTGAAAAAATTAAAAATTATAATTTATATGTAATTTCTTTGTTGAAGTTCAAAAAGGAGAAACACATTTCTGAGTCTTCGATTATTCAAGAACACAAGGTTGGAAAGTGGCATCAATAAAGTTTCTGGTAGAATTCCAAAGGAGTGTTGAAGCAAAAGAGTAGAACTAAATTTTTAATCTAAGAAATATATATCAGATAGCCAAGATATGACGGGTACTGAGGATTCAAATTGAGAGACAGAGTGTATATCTTCCAGAAAGTTCCAGCCCAGATTCCAAAGCACAGCACATGGTAGTTTTTAATCAAGGGCTTGAGGAGCCCAGTAGAAGCTACTTAACCCAGACAGGAGGGCTGAAGGTCTTCCAGAAAACGCGAGGTCTCAGCTGAGCCTTCAGGGAGCAGAAGGACCTAGCCAGGGAAAGGGAGGGGGAGAGGAGCAAGTGACTATGGACAGAGGGACATCCTCAAAGAGCACGTAGGGGCTCGAGAGAAGCACAGCATGGTAAGGAAACTGCAAGTGTAGATTACCCCATGATGGGTGCAGGCAGAGGTGCATGGCAGGAGACGAGGTCTAGACCCTAAAAACCTCTATGGGGAATGCTGATATACTGGGACTTGTCCTAAAAAAATAAGGAAGACATTGAAGGATTTAATAAAAAGAGCAGCTAAATTGTTCTTGCAATTTAGAAAGATCAGCCAGACAGCAACAGGGACTAACTGGGCATTGGTTGTACTGGCAAGGGGAAAACATGTGAGGAGTCATTTAAATCATTCAGGAGAGAAATGATAAGAAGGAATTAGAAAAAGCAGGCGAGTTGGGATGATTTTCTGGGGTAGCTTTGATGGGAGGGCCTGGAGGTATGGGGTGATGGAGCATGTAGAATATGGGGAATATACAGGGTTTCCAATTCAGCCAACTGGATGGAGATGGTACTATCCTCAAAACTTAAGAGAATGGTGAGGTTCCATCCAATTTTTGATATATCCAGTTTTAAGTATCTGTAGAACCTCCAGGTGGAGATGTTTAAGCACTATCAGCATTTTCCTAAGTCATCTAATTATATCCACTGCCATGCACAAGGGATGCCTGATTTCCTTTCTCTGCCTCCCACTTTAATTCCAGAGGAACTCTAGCTCCTTGGATCATCCATCTGCAATTCATTTATCGTCCTCCATTTCCTCTGTATCTTGATTTTGTCTTAAAAAGGTACTTTTTTTTTTTTTAACTGCTTGTTGTGATAGAAGAGTAGAGAGCGGTTCTCTGATTAGGCGGTAAAGAAGTAACAGATGCTGTAAATGGGGAAAGGGGGAAACTGGCACAGCTGTCCCACTGCCTAGATGAAATTTAGCACTTTCCAGGCCTCACACAAAGGGCCAAGCCATTGTTCACTGGCTTCTGTGAGAATAGCTGACCACTGAGCGTGTTCAAATGAGGGTGGATTTTTCTCCCAATTTGCCTGTAATATTACAGTGATGCAAGTCCTCTTTGTATTTTCATCACATAGTTTGATGCTCACTTGCTTGCTAACAAATTCCAGAAAGGTTTTTAAGCTTTCAAACCTCATCAGAGAGCCTACCTCTGATTAAGAGTGATGCATTTCATTTGAATGAC